TATATATATATGTAGAGTTTTCCATCTGGTGTGGGTGAGTGATAGTTTACTTTGATTTTGGTTAAGGTAGATTATTATTTACAGTGTAATCAGTGAGGGGATTTTGCAGACTGTTGAGGGTTCAGCCTCCTGATGAGTCGGTAAAACTCCGACGAAACAGTTTGTCACAGCCCCTCGTTTGTTGTCCGCTTCTCTCTCTCTGCCTATGGTTTACCGGGCAGTTCTATTTGTGACGATATATATATAAAGGTCGTCCGTACTTGCGGGGAGATAGAGTGAGTGGCGCGCTCCGTCTTCGCACGTGCACGGCGCACCTCGCCTTCCCAGCGTTCGGAGTCAGTGCCACGTGTACCGCACACGCAAGACGGAGGGAGAGTTTTTTTCTCTCGGCCATAGCGTGGAGATAGATAGATAGATAGATAGATAGATAGATAGATAGATAGATAAATAGAGAGATAGAGAGAGAGAGAGAGAGCATTGCGGACGGCGGCTGGCATCCGCCATACCAATCGGTGGCCACAGGCGCCATAGCGAGCGGCGTCCATAGGCGCCATAGCGGATGGCGCCTGGAGCCTCCATAGTTGGGGGGAGAGAGAGAGAGAGAGAGAGAGAGAGAGAGAGAGAGAGAGAGGTGGCACAGGCGCCATAGCGGACGGCGGCCATACGCGCCAAGGTCGGGGAGAGAGAGAGAGAGAGAGAGAGAAAGAGAGAGAGAGAGAATGTCTGACGGGAACACGAACATCCCCGCACAGGGAGGAGTCGTCGTTAGCACGGCGACTACTGACGTGGCGGCCCCGTCAGCCACGTCGTCACCCACGGCTCATGATGACACCGTTTCCGCACAGTCGGTTGGTGCTCCGCCAGGCCACAATGCGGTTGGCCAGGTCGGCGTTCGCGGTGGGGGGGGCGGTGCAGTAAACGATGAGGGAGGTGAAGGCGGGGGTTGGGGAACGTTGACGACAGCGGGAGACGGAGGTGGATGGGGTTTACCGAGCGATGGCGGGGGCTGGCCGACTGCTAACGGCTCCGGGTGGGAGCACGGTGGGCCGGGATGGGGTCCCGACCCCGTCGATTACTCGCCCGGTGCCTCTGCCACTAACGGGACCTACCATAGTCCTTGGAGTTCGGGCGATGAAGGAGGAGATGGGGGCGGGGGCGGGGGTGGCGGTGACGAGTTGTAGGTTTAGTTTTCGTTTTCGTTTTTTTTTTTNTTTTTTTTTTTTTTTTGTGGTGACGAGTTATTGGTAGAGTTTTCGTATTATATTTTTATTTTCCGCGTTTTTTTCTTCCACTCCTATATTTCCTCCTTTTTTTATTCCATTACTTGCCTTTTTTCTTCTTCTCCTTCTCCTTGTCCTTCTTCTTCTTCTCCTTCTTCTTCTCCAAAACCTTTTCCTTCGTGTTCTGCAAAACCTATAGCAAAAACTCTTGAGAGAGACAGAGTTATAATCATTTCACGACGTCTTTGTTGATTAGGTTTTTTTTTTTTTTTTGAATTTAGCGTTTGTCGTTTTGGATTTTGTTATATTTCAACATGTATGTTGCTTTTTTAATTATCCTGGATTTTTGTCGTTTGTAGTTCTCTCTCTCTCTCTCTCTCTCTCTCTCTCTCTCTCTCTCTCTCTCTCTCTCTCTCTCAGTCAACCAATTCTCAATCCATTGAATACATTGATTGATTGATTGGGTCACACACACAAACACGCACACACACACACACACACACACACACACACACACACACACACACACACACACACACACACGGAAACACGTGTATCATTGCGGGATTGCTTGATTGATTGAGGATTGATTGATTGATTGTGGAAATATGTGTGTCATTGCCGGAAACAACATGTGTGTGTGTGTGTGTAACAGTCTGTGTGTGTGGATAAAATTTATATATATATATATATATTTTGGCATTTTTATGTATATTATCTTTATTTTTTTTGAACTAGTACAACATGGATTGATTGATTTATTGATTGATAAACGAAATGATCATTGTGTGACATTTTTCGTGAATTATGACTGTGTTTATGACACTACGTGTGTCGACCTTATGTGTGACTCTGTGTGTGTGCTCTCTTTCTCTCTCTCTCTCTCTCTCTCTCTCTCTCTCTCTCTCTCTCTCTCTCTCTCTCTCTCTCTTTATTCACACAAAAACAAAACAAAACAAAAACTAATCATCAATCAATCAATCGCTTATTCCAATCAATACATTGATTGATAGATTGATTGATTGATTGATTGATGACTGTTTGTGTGTCACTATGTGTGTGAGTCTGTGTATGTGTGTGATTGTGTGGTGTCTCTCTCTCTCTCTCTCTCTCTCTCTCTCTCTCTCTCTCTCTCTCTCTCTCTCTCTCTCT